ATGGCCTAATGGTAATGTAATACTAAATTGTACAGATGGGATGATAGGATGTCTGCAGTTACACCAGATGAGGATATCTTCTACTGCGTGGGACTATTGCATTCAGGCAGTTTTGATGACTGGCAAGATTTGGACAATCAAAACAAAGAAATTCTGGAATTCTGTGATAGAGCTGGAATAAAGATGAAGCAGTATCTTCCACACTACAAATCCAAGGAAGATTGGATAAAGCATTTTGGTTCAAAATGGAACAATTTTCTAGAAAGGAAAGCACAGTTTGATCCAAGAATGATATTGTCACCAGGACAAAAAATCTTTAATTCTGTTTGAAACATACATGCATAAACTTCTTAGCCATTTGAGTTGCTTAGACAGTAGAACTTGCAGATTAATTAATTTTAATGTTATTTATCTTTAAATAAAGATTGTGGTTAATCATTAATAATTATTTTATCCAGTTATTGAAAAGGAGCACCTTATGTATACATGTAGTAAAATTTTGAAGATGTGTTTATAAGCTTAAGTATCGAATAAAGATAAAAACTAGTGTTAATGGTAAAATTCTAACCGAATAAAGATAAAAATAATAGACAATATGATTATTCTTCACAAGTATGAGCTATTAAGATGAAACTCTAATTCTATGATATCGTTAACCCAAAAAACCCTCAAATAATCAATTTGTCTAAAGCTCAAATAGATAGTCGACTTTAAAATTGGTATTCTTAAATGAGCTATCATCTTGTAGATGCACATAGTTCCTATTTGGTTTAGATAAAAATTAAATTTTTAGTAGACATCAATAAAAGTTGATGAAATAAGTGATTGAAAAGTTGTGGATCTTATAAAATATGAGGTTAAAATTCACGTTTGTAGTTAAAAGAAACACGCACATAGTGTCATCATGCTACAATTTGGCATGCATTAATTAGGAGGCTAACTAATGATGCCTTAATTGTTCACAGTGAAAAGGCAGCAAAGTATAAATTTGTTTTTTTTTTTT